CCGATACATTTTTAAAAAACTACATTTATTTAGAAAAAAATATGTATTCTGTATGTAAAAAAGAAAAAAAAACATACTTTTTTTCGAACAAAACATTTCGCTTTCATCCGATATATACCAATCTTTCTATTAGTCATAACTCGCCTTTTCACCGTTTAAATAATTCATTAAGCTTACAGTTAAAAACGGGCTAATTATTTGGTCGAGTGCGAAGGTATCTAGCTATCCGATCTCGATATCATGCTATTGGCTACCCTCATTCGAACTCTCACCCTTTTGAGGGCCGTTACTCCGTGCGAGGAGAGGAGATCCTAAGAACAATAGACGAAAGGAGTCAAGGTTGTCGTCTCGGCCGTTTTCGCGCCGCCCTCCACACACATTCGATCTCCGCGTGGCGTGTCTCGGCGCGTTTCGGCGCGTTTCGGCGCGGCACGACGCAGTGCGCGTCGTACGCCGTCGGCGGCCTCCGACGATTTTCGATCCCCCACTTTCTTCTCCTGCCACACTTCCTTTCCATTTCTCTCTGCCTCGCACTAAACCATTAACCACGCCGCACAATTCCCCGTCCATCGTACCGCGCTGGTACGTCAACGAACGACCGTTCATCGTGTCTCTCCTAAACTCGTATAATAGCGAGAGGAACCGAGTCCCGAAAAGGGAGCTATGACATATGTATAGAGAAAACTTCATTCTGCCATATCTGCTGTAATATTATTATATCTCTTAAGCTTTGTTGTTGAAATAATGGGCACGTGATAGCTAAGAAATTCATTTAATGACTCGTAATAATTTTCTCTATAAGGAAAAAAAATAAATAAATATAATAATAATAAGAATATTGCAAATAATATCCGATTTCTTAATCGTTCAATACACATATATATCTCTTTAATGAGAGTTGAAAGACTTACGTATATTTAATAGTAAAGTAACATATATGTTTTTTCGTTACACAAACGTGTACGTAAATATTTCTTATGTTCTCACGGTTATTCGTCCTCTAACGGAGCTTGTAATATCAGACTTTTTGATAAAATTACTTATAGATCTTCTCTGACCTTCTTCTCTTTCTATCTTTCTTTCTTTTCCCTCCCCTCCCCTCTCTCTCTCTTATTAGGTTTTCCAGTAATTATTAAAATTAATTCCGTGAATATCGCGCTCTCATCTGTCATAAACAATTAGTCAATTTCCACGAACCTTTTTACACAGTTTCTGCTCGATAGAAAACTTCCACGAACGAATGTATAACGCCGCTATTCGTTTATGAGCGGCAGTAACATCGTAGTCATGAAAATGAAGTTTGAATTAATTGGAACAGGTTGCTTAGCAGAACTGGAAGTTTAGCATAATTACTGCGCAACTGGATATAGCTCCGAGAGAGAGAGAGAGAGAGAGAGAGAGAGAGAGAGAGAGAGAG